AGCCTTGGGGGAATCCCAGGACAAATAAAGGTGAACAAATGGCTCCGAAGAGGCGATAACATCAAGGCTGGGCTCACAGAGCCGAGGCAAAGGTGCTCCGCTGGTCTGGCTGCCGTTTGATGTAAATAGTCGGACCCTTTGAAGGGCAGCAGCTGAGTGCCTGCCCCTAGACAGCTTAAAAATACGCCTTTATTTGCTGTGTCATGCTGCAAGGTGGCGCGTGGGCTTGACCTGCGTGCCTTCCTCGGCGTCGTTGGCCAGTGGGCTGATTGCTCGTAGCATCCGACTGGGCTCAGCGAAGGCAGAGCGTGGGCTGGCTCCTGCCTGGGGAGGCTGCGGGTTAAGGCCCTGCTGCCGGCATCGCCTGGGCTCGGGCTCCGTCGACTTCCAAGAGCTCCTGGATTTGCAGGCTCGGGGAGCACCTTGAGCAAGCCAACCTCTTGTTTTCCCCTTTTGGGCTATTTTTGTGCGCCAGCCGGGCCCGCCCAAACTCCAACTATAGCAACAAAGTGCGGGGGGGGAAAAAAAATGGTAGGGGAAGGTTTTTGAGGGAGACGGCTGGCGTAAGGGCGTCTCCAGAAGGACCTGAAGCCAGGCAGCAAACGGTTGAAACCGTTTAGGTGCCTTCTTCATCACGTAGGAGCCAAGTGACAGTCGTGAAGCCTCCAGCTGCAGGAGGAGCAAAACCGGAGTGAAATGAAAGCCAGACACTTCATGTGAGAAGCCGCAAAATTTCGGATGGGGACAAAAAGCAGCCGGAGAGGGTTTAATCACCTCAATCCGGAGATGGCTTCATTATTATGGCTCTCATGGAAAACATCTATTCAAGGGCCAGACAAAAGGAACTGAGTATAATCAGGAGCCAGTGTGTCGAGCAGTGCTTCCCACACAAACAGCATCTTCAGAGATGAAAGAACAATTTACAAAACAACGGCGCGGCGATTCTTCCGACTGATAAAGAGTCCAACAATAGATATTTACCCGCTAATGAACACACACAAAAAAAAAAACAAACGGCTGTGAAGGGAATCTTAATGAGGAGCGGGGAGGTGAAATCCCGTCCGGAGGTGAAATCCCATCCGGCAGCGCGGGTCAGGCAATCTCAGTGCTCGGCAGCGTCTGGAAAGAAGACTTCTTCTGCGCCTGCTACGCGCTGGCTGGTCCCCTTTGGTGCCTCGAGAGAGTAACGGCGCGACATTGCATAGCGTGTTAAAGAAACTGGGGGGGGGAAAAGTGCTCAGAATTACAGCTGTCTCCTTTACACCCAAATATTGCAACCCCCTGCTGAGAAAATTAGTTGCCATGTAATTAACTCAGAATTATATTGGCGATAAATATGTAATTATATTTGTACTAGTACGGGGCGGCTTGCGATTACAAATGGCATTTAGCAAAACAAATGAACCAGCAAAAAAGTCCATCGGCATCCCGTAAAATGCTGGTTGGCATTTATTTATTTTATTTTTTTTTTAAAACTGATTTACCAGGAGAAATGAAACGCGGGAAGCCCGTCCTCCAGCATCCCCGCTCCTGGATGGGGGAGAGCTGCTCCCGGTCTGCCAAGCCCGGGGTGCGCGCGTGGTCCTGTTGTCCTCTCGTTGCAAAAGTGGGAGCCTGAGGGAGGTGGACCGAGCTTCTCCGGCCATCTCCACTGATGTGCCCTGCCCGGCTGCAGGATGCAGCGGCAGAGGCTCCTGCCAGCGTCCCCGCACCCCCCCCAACCCGTGGGGCAGCTCGGATGCTGTCTCTCGCTGTCCCTAAAAGTACCTTCTTCCTGGGAAAAACCTGCCCAAGGGAGCAGGGCCCTGGGGGGGGCACCTTCCCCCAGCTGCCTCTGCCGGGGGGATTCGGGGTGGGGAAAAAGCCGAATCCTGTATTCCCTAAGCTCGCTTCGTCCCTCCCAGGAGTCTTGGGCGGTTTTTTTTTTGCTTTTGCCCAGCTTTGCTGAAGACAGGCTTCAGAGTTGGTTCAGCAATGACTCTGGAAGGCAGCAGGGTCTCTCCAGGGCTTCGGCAAAGCCCTTCCAGAATGCCCCGGGGCTTTCGCCGGGCTTTGCCGATGCCCGCGTGGGTCCTTTGTCCCACTAGACTGGGCTGGGTGATGGGAAACCCCTTCAGCTTCGTGCTTGAGTGCAGCCTTCCCCATAGGATTCATCCTCACGGAGTAAGACCTGACGTCTGCAAGGAAACGGCTTTTCGGGCTTCCCCTCCCTCCCCGTGATGGGGGGGGGGAAATGGGAAAAGGGCAGGAAAGTGGATCGGGTATGTGAGAAAAACTCTCTCCCACCGGAGATCGGGGTTTTCCTGGGCTGCACTCCCCCTTCTTTAACCCTCCTCTGCTCCAGACCCCTTTGTTCCACAGGTTATTCCTCACTGCGAGTTCATTAAGGAGTTGAACCTGCTCTGAACCCGTAAGGTGCCACATCTCACAGCTCCGGCAGCCTTCAGCATTAATTCCATCTGTAAATGAGACTTTTTTTTTTTTTTTTTTTTTACTGGCAGGGCAAGCCACCCCGTCCTTCTCCAGGTAGCACGCGTCTGGTGTGGAGGTGATGCCCTGAGCAGTGAAAGCGTTCGGGGGAAGCACGGCTGCGAGCCTAAGCGGGCTCTCCTTGCTTTCAACCCCTCCTTTGGAATGCAGAAGCTTTTCTGGAAAGCTCTAACAAATGCCAGCCCCCATCCCTCCTGCTCTGACACAAGCTTGGGACAGCAGAGGGTGGATTGAGGGGGGGGGTCTCCCCCGTTCCCCTCCCTACAAAGCCCGGTGCTTCTCCGGTTTGCTTGGAGCCTGGGGGGGCTTCCAGGCAGTTTTCAGGTACCCGAGGGATGCTCGCGGGAAAATAACGTATGCACGCACGCACGCGTAAAGGCAATTCAGCACGGAAAGGGGTTCGAACGTCCAGGCTGCCCAGAGCCAGCCCTATGGGCTGCAGGGACCCGACTAAATAATACCCGCACATAAAATGGAGAGTCCTTGCCCCGAAGAGCTCGCGGTTTTAATTAGAGGATGCCCGGAGGGAATACGAGCGTGGAGGCTGTGTGTGTGTCTGTGTGCGTGTGTGTGTGCAAACACTGTGAGGCGTGCCAGCCCCTTCCCTGTTCAACAGGGAGAGAGATGGGTTTAGGTGTAAGCGGATCAGCTGCCGGCTGACAAGTTAAATACATGTTTGTTAAAAAAAAAAAAAATTAAAAAATAAAAAAAGTAAAACCCCCGAGCGGGAAGGTGTCTGTGCAGGGAGCAAGCGCCGCCTCCGAACATCTGCCTGGGAAGCTCCAGCAGTTGCAGAGGTAAACGCTGCGGTTGGGATAACAGACGGGGAAAAAGGCTGGGGGATGACGGAGCCCGGGTGAAGGGGATGGGGCAGGCGGCAGCACTCTCCCCCCCCCCACACGGGTACAAAAACCCCCTGCAACACCCAGCTGAGCTAACAGGGCCCAGAGCTCAGCAATGCCATAAATATTTATTTTTTAGCTCCTTTCCTCGGGGAAATCAGGTTTGTGGATCCTCTACACTCTGCCCCATCCCCGCTCTGCTCTTTGCTTTAAGGGTTGCAGCTCCATGCCGGTTTCGTAGCAGGCAGCCGTGAGCGTTTTCCAGCCGCTCCCCGTGCTCCTGCCTTGGCCCGGGCAGGGGCAGCTCTGCCTGGTTTTCCCTGCCAGCAGTCCCAGAGCCACATTGGTCGCGGGCACGTGGGGGCGCATCAGCTGAGCCCCGGGATGCCAAGCCAGGCTCCCCCGTCACTAGGGCTCGCCCCTGGTCTCCAGCAACTGACCGGCACGGAGCTGTCACCCACCCCCCCACAAAAATACCTCTGGTGCCCCAGCTCAGCCTTGAGCCAGCCCGAAGCCTCGGGAGACGACTTGCTGCTGCGCAATTTGGGGGCTGCATCCAGCCAGGGGGTACGGTACAGCCCCCAGCCCCCAATCTCCATCCCTCCCTGTGCAGGAAGGGGGGGAGAACTTGTCTCAACTCCCCCCAGCGCATCAGGGACCCAGCTCCTGCTGTGGTGGCAGCTAATTTTAGAGCTTATTTATTAACATTTTAACACAAAACGTGCATGAAATATTCACCCAGTGTGACAATGCGTTTTATGGCAAGGGAAGCCTTAAATATTTAAGAGGCATTTTGCAGTATCAGTGGCAGGAAGCATTTACGTCTGACTCACAGCACAACGCGACAATTTGAGCCTGAGCTAATCTTTGCTGCAGCTTTTAGCTACGTACCCCGTCCTTGGGGTGCTGGTTGGAGGTGTTGGGGGGGGTGTGTGTGTGTGAACCACCCCATTCTGCAGAGGGGAGCGAGATTGGGGAGCTGCTTTTCTGCAGGAGGGTCTCCTCCAGGCTGGTTTTGCTCCGGGGGGGGAGCAAAGTCCCTTTGCCCTCTCTGTACTCTTGCTCCCCCGGCCCCCCAGCTCAGCCCAGCAAAGCCAGGGACAAAGGCCCGAGGTTAAGGCTTGGCTTCACGTCCAAGGGACGAGCTGCGTTTAGATGACCAGAGGCACCAGCCAGGTTTTCTTTATTCCACGTTTCAAGAGCACGGACGCTCGAGCAGCAGCTAGAACGGACACGCGGCTTAACAAAAACCTGCGCAAACCATGAAACTCCCCGTACCCGATCCTATTAGGAGAGGCGTTTAGAAGGAGCCTAAGGTTTCTGGGCAGGGATGACAGGCTGTAAAGGCCTTTAGAAGAGCCTTTTGTTAGAAGAACAACCTTCCCGTGGACCAGAATAAACCAGCACCATCTTCTGCTGTTTTCGGAGACTAATTTGTGACTAAAGCCACAAGATGAAGGAGGTGTTGAGCGTAGTTTTTAAGACCGTTGCAAAGCTGAGCCTGTCAAACTGCAGCCAGAGACACGGCAAGGTTTGGTCCAGCCACGATCTGGGGCTCCCTGCAGATTTTTAAGCCAAGTTTGGAGAGATACCTCCCCGACCTCACCAGCAACGGAGTCCTGAGATGAGCAGCCACGAGGACACGGTGGTGGCAGGTGGTTTTTGTGGTCAAGCAGCCGCTGGCTCGCTGGAGGAAGAGCTGCCGAACATCTCCTGGGAGGCGTAGGTCAGGTAGAGAAAGCCATCCTCATCCTTGTTGTCACGGTACAGCTCCTGCATGGTGACGGCCATGTTCGGCAGCCCTTTGTTGTTCACCAGCAGGTAGAAGGTCTGGGAGGAGGCCAGGCAGAGCCGCGTCCTGCCGAGAGGAAGGTGAGGGCAGCGTGCGGCTGAGTAGTGCCCAGCACCAGGCAGCGTGGCCATCGGGGAGGCTCCCTAGGGAGGACCCCATCCATGGGGACACGGTGCTCGTGGTCCCTCCCAAAGGCACCGGGCTTCAGCATCACCTCCCTCCGGTGCCAGCCACCCGCCAGCACCCACGGGCACAAGGGTGGGCGCTAGGGCGTGGTCAGCTGCTCCCCAAAACATCTGTAAGGGCCAACCCCCAACCACAAGCTCTCACCTCCATCCGTCCCCAGCTGTGCCACCAGGAGCCAGGAGATGTTGGACCTTGGGAGGGTTTTCAAGCAGAGCCCAGAGCACAAAAGGTTGCAAGTCAGCTGCACCAGTGCTGCTCATTTGCAGGGCTGCTAATCACCTACCCCCAATTAAGGATTCGCCTGTGCTGCAGGTCCCCCGGGGGAAGGGAAGGGAGCTAATTGTCACCTTTTTGTCCCAGCGAGGGTGGAGGAATTCTGCCATAAGGCACCGCCACGCCTTGGCAAGCAAACTGCTCTTTGCTGATTGCAAAGGCTTAATTGCATTAGGCCAAGTCTAAACACTTGCCCAGTGGAGCAGCCCAAGTGGCTTCCAAGCCAAGCTGTTTCACAGGACCAGCTGCATCTAGACTGGGCTTTTGCGCTGGTCCGGGGCTGTGGACCCCCCCCCCCCCCCCCCCCCCCCCCCCCCCCCCCCCCCCCCCCCCCCCCCCCCCCATTAACCACTTACCGCAGGGTGACAGCAAACTGGGACAGGGGCAGGTCCTGGGACACCAGGAACTTGGTCCTGTTCAAGGGGGGCAAGGTCTTCTCCTTCTGGTAGCGCTCCACAACCACCTGCAGCGGGGAGAAGATGCTGGAGGGGGAGACAGGGACTGGGAGGCTCTGGGACCACTCTTGCAGGGGTACCCAGAGAAGCAGAGCTGCGGTCTTCAGAATTGAGCCACAAAGTCTTTAGCAAAGACTCCCACGGCCTTTCAGCCGGCCGCCAAGAGAGCGGGGCACAGCCCTTACCGGGATCTTGTTGGGATATTTTATCCGGATCTCTGTCACTTCGTGCATCCTGGTGGCTGTGGAAGAGAAAAGAAGGAGCAATAAGTGCAGCCCGCCCCAGTGTCTCTGCTCTGCTGCTCCCCTCGTCCCCAGTAACCTACCGAGGCTTTTCCTTTGCTTGAACGGGCGAGAGCTGCTGTCGCCTGGTTGCATCTTCTGGAAGGAGGAGGAGGAGGCAGCTCAAGGCACAGACAGAATCTGCTCCCCGAGCCCTGCCATGGGCAGCTGCTGCTTGGCAGAGCTCCTAATATAGGCTCATCCTGCCCCACCTGGGCTGGGGATAGGAGGGGCTGGGATGCTCAGCAGGGTGCTGGGCTCTGCTGGGAGGGAGGGGGGAGAGGAAGAGGAAGAGGAGAGGAGAGGAAGAGAAGAGGAGAGGAAGAGGAGAGGAGAGAAGAGAAGGGGAGAGAAGAGAAGGAGAGGAGGAGGAGAGGAGAAGGAGAGGAGAGGAGAGAAGGAGGAGAGGAGAGGAGAGGAGAGGGAAGAGGAGAGGAGAGGAAGAGGAGAGGAGAGAAGAGAAGGGGAGAGAAGAGAAGGAGAGGAGGAGGAGAGGAGAAGGAGAGGAGAGGAGAGAAGGAGGAGAGGAGAGGAGAGAAGGGGGAGAGGAGAGGAGAGGAGGAGGAGAGGAGAGGAGAGGAGAGGAGGAGAAGAGGAGAGGAGAGGAGAGGAGAGGGAAGAGGAGAGGAGAGGAAGAGGAGAGGAAGAGGAGAGGAGAGAAGAGAAGGGGAGAGAAGAGAAGGAGAGGAGGAGGAGAGGAGAAGGAGAGGAGAGGAGAGAAGGAGGAGAGGAGAGGAGAGGAGAGGAGGAGGAGAGGAGAGGAGAGGAGGAGAAGAGGAGAGGAGAGGAGGAGAAGAGGAGAGGAGAGGAGGAGAAGAGGAGAGGAGAGGAGGAGAAGAGGAGAGGAGAGGAGGAGAAGAGGAGAGGAGAGGAGAGGAGAGGGAAGAGGAGAGGAGAGGAAGAGAAGAGGAGAGGAAGAGGAGAGGAGAGAAGAGAAGGGGAGAGAAGAGAAGGAGAGGAGGAGGAGAGGAGAAGGAGAGGAGAGGAGAGAAGGAGGAGAGGAGAGGAGAGGAGGAGGAGAGGAGAGGAGAGGAGAGGAGGAGAAGAGGAGAGGAGAGGAGGAGAAGAAGAGAAGAGGAGAAGAGAAGGAGAAGAGAAGGAGAAGAGAAGGAGAAGAGTTTGCTCCTTACAGATATTTTGGGGAGCAGCTGGGTTGGGTGCTAGGGCAGCACCCAACCTCATGCCTGTGGGTGCCGTTGGGTGACTGGCACCGGAGGGGAGTGATGCCGAAAGCCTGGTCCCATCAGAAGGGACCAGTGATTTAAAATCCTTCGTTTTCCCACCAGACCGGTGCTGCGCTTAATGAAGCAGATTCAGCTTCCCCGGGACAGGACTCGGCGTGAGCACGGTGGACCCGGTGCCAGCCCAGCGGCCCCTCCGTGTGCCCCGGCAGGCTGCAAAGGCACTTTTATTTTCTCCGTGAGCTGGCCGGGCTGGTGCGCCGGGAGTTACTGCTTTTTAAGCCTCTTCTATCCCCCGGTTCATCTGAAGGGCCCTGGCCCCACGCCGCCGCTGGGCAAACGATTCCAGCGATGAAACTACGCTGCGGATTAGATAATAATCGATGGCCTGAGGTGGTTCTCGCAGCCAGCAATAACTCCC